CTCTTCCTCACCACCTCCTGAATCCTGATCACGTCCTCGGTCCTCTTCCTCGTCCTTCCGGACCTCGTCCTCACCTGTCCTCCCATTACCCCCAACTCCTCTTCCCACTCCTCCTCCTCCTCCTCCTCCTCCTCCTCCTCCTCCTCATCATCATCATCATCATCATCATCATCATCATCATCATCATCAGCATTATCATCATCATCATCATCATCATCATCATCATCATCATCATCATCATCCTCATCATTATCATCGTCATTATCATCATTAGCATCATCATCATCATGCCCGACGATGGTATTTCCGAGGCCAGGTCGGGGTATGTTAGACAGCAAGAGGCAGCACCGTGAACGACACTGGGGCCGGCAAGAGAGATAATTCATCAACCGAATTAGTGCTCTGGCGAACGGCCCCACGGCCACGGCGAAGCCTTGCAGCAGCAACAGGGCGGGAGGGTGGGAGCTCGAGAGCCGAAGGCTATTGACAAGAGGCAACGCATTCTGCATTCGGCCTCTCCCTTGCCCTCTAAAGGCATTCATCTTCAATAGGAAAGTCCATGCCCGACGATGGTATTTCCGAGGCCAGGTTGGAGTATGTTAGACAGCAAGAGGCAGCACCGTGAACGACACGGCAAAGGAGATAACTCATCAACCGAATTAATGCTCTGGTAAACGGCCCCACGGCCAAAACATCCCGAACAATCCGGAGGGCTACTCCTTTGATGTTAGCTGCCTAGCCAGAGCGGTGTGACTGACAGCGCCTCGGAGTGCAGCCTGGCACCGACGAGCGCGCGGGCCCATCGTCTCGCGAGCGTCTCGGGATAGGCGTGCGCAACTAAAGTCCACAAAGGCCTTCCAGGAACTTCCCTTCGAATCTGATGAGGCTAACCAGTTCTACTACAGTGCATAAGCGAGCGAAAGCCGAGACATCAACACGATAACCTAGGAGACCAGTCGGCTTTTTCCACGCTGTCCCATCTTGGCAAACATGTGTGACAGCCCAGAAAAATGAGGTTGCTTACGACAGCTTTGCAGAGACGGAATGAGCCACAGCCTAGACATCGCGGGATTCTCGACTGTCAAAGGGATCTGCAGAAGCTTACAACTGGCACAAACATTCTCACAGCATCTCACTAGCTTATTGGCGGTCGTGATCTGAGCCCTGTCCACTGGGTGCGTCACAGCTGCAAGCCCCCAGAGCTCCGAGTCGGAGCGAAGACGGCTCGGCCAAGACGGAAGCCCGCCTGGCACGCGCAGCGGTCCGGTGTCTCGGACTCTGGGCCATGGCTCACAGGGCGCGCCGAAATTCATGCCCCAGACCAGGCCGGCGTCCAACCAGCCCCGCAGCACGCGGGAGACCTTCGGGTCAGTGAGGTCCCAGTCGGCGCCCCAGGCGATGTCCCATTCGATGACCAGGGCGCCCTCGCTCCGCAAGGCTGCCGCAAGCACGCCTTCGCCGGAGAAGACCTCCACGAAGATCGGCGGCGCCAGGAAGCGCCTGCGGCGGGGGCCCAGCAGCCTCCTCAGCAGCGCCAGCCGAGGATAGAGGCCAGCCGTGCTGGGGCCAGCAGGGCCGCGCGCTGCACCTCGGGCGCCAGCCTCTGCAGCTGCTCGGCGACGCGGCCTGGCTTGAGGTAGCGCGCGACCGACGCGTCGGTCCGCCAGCGGCCGCGGAGCTTGACGCTGGCCAAGGTCCGCCACTGCAGTGCCAGCTCCACCGACGGGCCTGAGCGCCGCAGCTGGCGCAGCTGCGGGGCGAGCGACGCCAGCCCCATGTCCTCCGCCGCCTCCTTGAACAAGGAGCTGACGCGCACGAGGGGGAACGGGAACAGCGGCTCGCTCGGGTGGGTCGCCGCCTCGAGCCAGCGGAGAGCGCCGGGCAGGAAGCTGTAGAAAGGCAGGTCGAAGAGGATCACCTCGTCGTAGACCTGAGTCTTGCTGGGCACTGCCAGCTCGCGAGGATGGAGCACCAGTGACCAGCCGTCGCACGCGCCCCCCGGCGCCAGGGGGATCAGGTGGGCCCCCAGGGCCCGCAGCGCCTCCGACGGCCGCAGGTAGCCCGCGAAGGTCACCAGCACGTAGAGGGCGACCCGCAGCCGACCCCGATCGATCAGGCGAGTCGCGACGAGCGCCACGATCTCCCAGGGCAGCGGGAGCCTGGTGCGAGCTGGTACTCGCCTCCGCCAGCCTCGCAAGGCCTGCAGTGCCTGCGGCAGCCCCTGGCCCCCGCGCCTGAACTGCGGCATCATGAACTTCAGCGCCGCCAGCGTGTAGGCCCCGCGCTCGGGGTTCCAGCCCTCGGCGCACTGCTGGCCCATCCAGTGCGCCAGCAGGTCGTCCGCCGCCTCGGTGCGGAGGGCCACGGTCACGGTCGTCATCCAGGCCACGAACTCGCCCCAGAGGCGCGTGCACTTGGCCCTCGTGGTCGCCGAGATCGAGAGGGCCCTCAGGACATGACCCGCCGAGGAGCGAAGGGGGGCCGCCTCGGGTGCTCGCGCCGCGGCCCTCCCCGCACGCTCGGCGGCCGCCTCAGCCGCCTTTGACAGGTGGCTGCGTCTCGCCCGGCGCTGGCCTCGCTGCGAGGCCGTCGCCTGGCCGGGGCGCCCCGCTGCTGCCTGGCGCGGGGCCGTCGCCGCGAGCGGCGCTGGCGTCAGCCATGCCTGTCCGCCCTCCCGCGCGGCGGCCAGACTGGCGACAGCATCCCAGCGCAGCCGCGCGCCGATCCTCAGCGCCCGGCGGGAGGGCAGGTCCGCCGGGTTCGCCTCCGACGGGATCCACCGCAGCGCCGCGGTGACGCCCCCCGCCACCACGAGGGCGGCCCACTGGCGGCAGATGCGCGCCATCCTCGGCCGCGAGGAGCGGCCCTTGGTCAGAGCCAGGACGGCGACGAGACTGTCTGAGAGGAAGAGGGCGCGATGGCCATGCTGCCCGGCGTCCCAGAGGACGTGCTTCAAGGCGTGGATTAGGGCCCCCCCCCATCCAAGGCTGCGACGTGCTCCTCCCTCTCCCAGGCCCCGCTCGAGATGGCAACCCAGCCCCCTGAGATGCGATGCGCTTCCAGAGGCTCGAAGTCGGTCTCCTGGGGCTCCGCGCGGGGGCTGCCTTCGCCCACGGGGGCGACGGGCTCTTGGATGTACGACGGGGCGCTGCAGACGTGACCTTTCGAGGGCGGCTCGGAGTAGACGAGGGCCCCCAGGGGCTCGAGGGGCCCGATGAGCTGCTCCCGGGGCGCCCTCGCGCCGGGGTCTCGGAAGCGCCAGCGCTCCTGGATCCTACCCATCCTCTCCACCACGTCGTTGCTCATTTCACGCCCGCATACCCCTCGGCCCCACTCGGGGGCATCCGCGCGTAGAACTCGGCCCAGCCAGCGAGCCCGGAGGTCGGCGTGAGCCAGCGGGACAACCACCATGGCCCACGTCAGCTCTCGGCGCACGCTGGGCCACCAAGGCCCAGGCGCCTAACCGGCCTTTGCGATGAAGCGGTACACGGCCGAGAACACTGCCAGCAGCGGGCGCCTCACCATGAAAAGGAAGGCGTAGTGGCCCACGACCTGGCGCACCTGCTGGGCCGAGACCCTCGGCATGGCGAGGAGCGCGCGCGCGGCATGATCCTCCGGGCTCTCCGAGGCGAAGGCGCGACTGCCCCCCGCGCGCCATCGATGACCCAGCCCAGCACCTGCGCGTGGAGCGAGGCGGCCTCCACCGGGAGGCCCTCGCTGCGCAGCTCGGCAAACATGTCATCCTTCAGGCGGTCGGCGGTGTCACCGTCGAGGGCGAAGTTGTCGACGTACGCGAGGTGCGCGCCGGCGCCCAGGCTAGGGCCGGTCCTCGGGTCCGCGATCCTCGACAGCACTGGCAGCCCTGCGCGGCCGGCGGCCGCCCCCGACACCCGCTGGCAGACGGCCAGCGCGTGGGGCCAGCCCATGGGCAGCACCGCGAGCCGCGGCCAGAGCCGCTGCGCGCGCGGCTGCCCGGGGGTGGCCCCCCGCCCAAGCCTCCAGGAGCCCAGCGGAGGGAGCGCGAAGTACGGCCTCCAAGCGTCCGGCAACTGCTTGTTGTAGATGGCGTCCGCGATGTCCGCCGAAGCGGTCCACAAGTTGGCGCCGTCCGGCAGCTCGATCGCCGCCAGCGCCGCGCCGGTGGCCAGGCGGGCGCCCTCGGGGTCGCCGAACCAGAAGTTGGCGGGGCGGGCGTCCACGACCAGCCGCTGCTTCCCACTCTTCTTGGCCACGCTGAACAGGCCAACCTCGTCGACCACCAGGGCGGCGTCGCTGACGAGGTCGACCACCCCGGCCTCGTGGAGACGCCTGGCCAGCGCTGCATAGCGGCGAGGGTCTCGAAGGCAGGGGTCCGAGTAGGGCTTCTTGAAGCCAACGCTCTGCTTCTGCTGCAAAACTTCCGTATTTGGCAAGACCTCGCACGAGATAGCACGATCGACGGAGTCGAAAACCTCGGTCCCCAGCAGCCGCCCCAGCGCCACGGGGGGGTTAACGAGGAGGTAGCGGGCGCCGGGAGACGCCCATCGCCTCCGCCCTGGTCGACAGCGAGCCGTCGTAGGACAGAGCAGCCTGGAGCTCCTGCAGGGCTGCCAAAGGCAGTAGGTCGCCTGGCGGGGGGCCCAGCTGGGAGACGGAGTCCGCGACCCGCGTCAGGCACTCCTGCTGCGCGAGCGTCGCGCCAGCCCGCGGCAGCGAGCCACCCTGCACCCTAGCGCCGCTGAGGCCATTGAGCGCCTCGGCCGCCTGCCGCGTGAGCCAGGGCGCGGACGCCGCGCGCCGCGCGCGCCGCCGCGCGGCTCGGGAACAGACGCCAGCAGCCAGCCCGCCAGGATCGGCGGCGCCAGGCACCGGCAGCGGAAAGAGGTCCCGCTGCCGCGCCGCGCCCGAGCCGTCGAAAGTGCTATGTACACCCTCAGCGCCACTGGCAGTCGCCGAGATGGGCCCCGATGCCGTAGCGCCCGGGGGAGCTGGGCCACAGGGCCCCCCCGGGCATGAGAGCGTCATGCCTTGGCTCCGCCGGCTTTCGGCCCAGCGGCAGCCTTCGCCTCCTCCCGCAGCTTGCGGGCGTTCTTCTTGATCTGACTGATGCGCTCGAGCTCCTTGCCGACCACGTCTAGCAGGGCGGGGCGCGCCATGCTGCTTGGACGACTCGACGGACCCGTGCCGCCCATGAAAGCGGAGACCTCCTCCACTGGCAGCTTCAGCTGCCCCGCATCCTGCCCCCGTTGCTTCTCGTCCCAGAAGTGCTCGATCAGCTGCATCTTCCCCAGAAGACGCTCCGCGCCGAGGAGGTTCGTCACGTTCACCTCGTCGTGCGTGGCGACGTCCTCGAGCACGGTGGAGAGCGTGTGGTGCTCCGAGACGCCCCAGTCCGAGGAGTTGAGCCTCTTGCGGGACTTCCAGCTCTCGTGGTGCTGAATGGGCCCGCCCTCCCGCAGCAGCCACGCCACGCACCAGCCCGCGGACCTCGGCTGCAAGGTGAAGCTGGGGTCTGCCACCTCCACCGCCGACCCGGTCACTGCGGGCCAGCTCCGTGCCAGGCGAACGTCCGGCGTGCGCGCTAAGATCCTCGCGTCGGCCCCCCGCCACTTGTCGATGAAATCACCTCGCCGCCAGTCCTCCAGGAGGAACGCCATGGCGGAGGCACCTCCGACGAGAGTGATGGTCGCTCGTCGGCCCGCTCGCCCTGCCAAGATCGCGCCACCGATCGGGCCGACTTGCACCACCGAGCCATAGGCGAGGCCGCCTGCATCCTCGGCGAGCACCCACGACCAGCCCGCTGGCGCCTCGCCGTTCGGCCCGAGGGGGGCGCCGCCGTCGTCCTTCCAGGAGGGTCCTGGAGGCGCGCCGACGGCCGGGGGGGCGCCCGGCGCGATGGGCACGCCGGCCGCCGGGCTTGGCACCGCCGCGGCGAGCGGTCCGTCGGGCGCGGGCGGCCCGGCAGCGGCCAACGCAGCAGCGGCGACCCCGGCCGCGGGCGGTGCGGCGGCAGCCCCATCGGGAGGCGGCACGGGCCCGACGATGGCGGCTGGCGCGGCCGCGAGCGCCACGAACCCCGGCAGCAGGCCGCCCGCCATCGGCACCAGGGTGCCGCCAGGCGGCACGGGCACCCCTGGATGGCGGCGGCCGAACTCGGCGTCGGCCTCCGCGACGGCGGCCGCCAGCCAGGCCGCCTCGCGCGCCGCCGAAGGGGCCTGGCGGAACCTGTGCGTCGCGCCAGGATCGATCCCCGGCGGCGGCGGCGGCCACTTCGTAGCCGAGAACCGCGCCGCCGAGATGTCGGGCCCCGCCGTCGGCAAGGTCTCGGCATAGACCATGTCATCTGGGGTCACGATGATCACGTCACTCGTGAGCGCCAGCTGGCCTGCTACCCTCCTCTGGTGGAGCAGCGGCGCGCCGACCACGTTGTAGAGGACCCACGCCCACGCCTCCGACATGAGGCCCAGCGGCGAGCGCAGCCAGCGGCGGCTGCGTCCCTGACACGCTGGCGACCGTCGCGGGTCGGCGGCGGCCCTCCGCAGCACCCCCGCGCGGCGCCCAGAGCCGGAGCGCCGTGAAGGTGCCGAGGGCCCCGAGCGACGCGCCAGCCAGCGCGGCCGTCCCGCAGGCGAGTGCGACAGTGCCCGTGGTCGCGCCCACTGAGGCAACAGGGCAGGGCGGGCAGGCTGGGCAGCTGCAGCCCGGGCGCGCTGGGCACGGCGGGAGCTCCACCGCCGGGCAGCGCGCGACCCAGGCCTGGAGCGCGGGGACGCCCCAGCGGTCGATGAGCCCCGCCCAGCCCGCGGGAAACCCCAGGAAGGCCCCGGCCATGCGCCGCGGCCAAGCCGCGGCCCACCAGCTCGACAGCCGAAGGATATTGACAAGAGACGACGCATTCTGCATTCGGCCTCTCCCTTCCCCTCTAAAGGCATTCATATTCAAAAGAACAGCCCAACATCATCATCATCATCATCATCATCAGCAGCAGCATCATCATCACCACCATCACCATCACCATCACCATCACCATCACCATCATCATCATCATCATCATCATCATCATCATCATCCTAATCATCATCGTCATGATCATCATCACCACAACCATCACCATCATCATCATCATCATCAGCAACAGCATCATCATCAGAACCATCATCATCCTCATCCTCATCATCATCCTCATCCTCATCCTCGTCATCATCCTCATCATCATCATCATCATCATCATCATCATCATGATCATCATCATCCTGTCCTGATGATCACCCACATTCGGCCTCCTCCTCCTCCTTTCCTCCTCCTCCTCCTCCTCCTCCTTCTCCTCCTCCTCCTCCTCCTCCTCCTCCTCCCCCTCCCCCTCCCCCTCCCCTCCACAACTACTCAATCTGAATACTACTCTCCCTCTTCCCCCGAAGGCGGCCTGAAAGTAGTAGACCCCCCCCCCGCGAATATTTGTTCTACATTCTACACACAGGATTCCCAGGAGTTGGGTTTTCGCCTGCGTTTTTTTCAAAATGCTGCTCTCGCTGAGGCGCCGGCCTCATTTCTGCTCCCGAATCGTTCCGAATCGTGCTCCCGCAGCAGCGGCCTCATTTTCGGATCGGTGTTTGGCCTCCGTCGTTCAGGATGGCGTTCTCGCCCCAGCGCGGGCCTCTTTCTCGCGCGCCCATCCGCCCGCCACCACCGCGCCGCACCACCACCACACCACCACCACCACCACAACACCACCAGCACAGCACCACCACCACCACCACACCACACCACCACCACCACCACCACCACAACCACGCACCACGCACACACGCACGCACGCACGCACGCGTGCACCACCACCCACTACGCACGCGCGCGCGCGGAGCCACAGGTCCGCTACGACACGCGTCCGCGGATAAAGAAAATCAGCGCCATGGTAAGGGATGGGAGGGAGGGTCGGACGTCAGATATGACGCGAGCGCACCTAGCTTGCCCCCCTCCCC